TATGAGGGAGATGAAGTGGTAACGCAGGTGTCTCGGTTTGGAAGAGAGGTGCCGGCTAGGGAGGGCAGGAGCCCCCCTTTGAACAAACATGTAGACCCTCTCCCTCTGAATTACTATAATTTTGAAATCAAGGGGCTCTCAGGCAGAGATTTGGGGACAGGAATAACAGTTCTTTATCAGTCAACAAAACAGAACCAGGGGCCTGGTGACAGCTTTCTTGGCTGAGATGGGAAGGGATGGAGGAGAGGCTTTGTTTCACAAACCCCCCGGGGCGGGCAGTCCCGGTGCTCCTGTGGGGCTCTGAGGAACAGCAGGGATGAGCTGAGATCCTGGGCCCGTGGCTGAGGTGGAACAGTAGGGATGAGCTGAGGTGGATCAGCAGGGATGAGCTGAGATCCTGGGGCAGTGGATGAGGTGGAACAGCAGGGATGAGCTGAGATCCCGGGACAGTGGCTGAGGTGGAACAGCAGGGATGAGCTGAGATCCCGGGCCCGTGTCGGAGGTGTATCAGCAGCTCCACGGCGGTGCCTGGCACTGCCACACGTCCCGGCAGGACAGGGGGTGTGAGGCCACCAACAAAGAGGGAAGAAGGAGAAGAAGCAGCAGCTCCGTCTGGGTGATGGTGAAATTCCCTTCTCCCCACTGCAACAGCTCCCAGCAAGAGTTCTGCTCTGAAGCTGCAGAAAGCAGCCAGCCCATTGTCCACCATCTCTTTTTCCTGTCCCCCTTCCCCCTGGGCCCAGCCGAACTCTTTGTGTTTCAAAAGCACCCAACAAGTACCAGCAGTCAGATTTTCCCTGCCACCATAGGTGAAAATTCCATAGGTGAGGCAGAACAAAAGGAAGGACACTTAATATCCAACACTGAGTTCCAAATTCCCTCTCACCTGCAGCTCTTCCTGCTTGGAAAATTCTGATTTGGGGTTTTGTGTGTTAAATGAATGGGGCTGATCCCTGATTCCTGTCATGCTGTGCCCAGCAGCAACTTCCAGAGAAGTTGGACACTGAGTCCTCTGTGACATCTCCACGCCCAGGGATGTGCTCAGCCCCTGGCACTCGCTGTTCTCTCTCCCAGGAGGCAGGACCATTCCTTGGCTGGAATTTTAGCCTCATTTATTGATGTGAAAAGATAAATTTCTGTCATCTGTGCATTTTCTTAACCTTCACTCTGTTTGCTCTGCGTGTGTTGGATATCAGGCCTTGTCTGAGCGTGTGGAAATTAAAAAGAAATGAAAGAAAACTCAAAGAAGTGAAAATTACAGAATTTGAATGGATATGTTATGGAAATTATTCCAAATCCTCACGTTCTTTGCAGTTCATTTACAGTGACATTTACAAGTTCTTTGGCTTCTTATCCTTCATTTCCCGAGGAATCCAAGCAGAGGAGCAGAGCTCCATCACCCCCCAGGTGTGGAGCAGGGAAGCAGCATCCTGGCAGGTCCTGCCTGTCCTCCCTGGGGGTTCAGGAAGGTGGAGGGAAGCTTTGCCAGGTGCTCAGAACAAGCACAGAAATGCAGAATAATTCTGAAAACTCAGCTGAATTCAACAATTCTCTTCATCTTTGTAAACTTTTGGCATCCCTGAGAAAAGCTAGAAATAACCTCTGTTGCAGGGTGAGGTTGTTGCCAAGCAAGAGCCACAGAAAGCCACGAATCTTCTCCCTAACGCCATAAATATTTTTGTTCCAGCTGAGTGTGGAGGGACAATCAGAGGAGAGGCCTCGGGACGGATCCTTTCTCCAGGATATCCAACTCCCTATGACCACAACCTCAACTGCATCTGGATCATTGAGGCAGAGCCTGGATGTACCATTGGGTGAGCTGGGCCAGGGTCCTGTGCTTTGGCTTCTTTCCCACATGGAGCTGATTTGTCCAGGGCAATAATTAAATAAAACAAGGAGGGACCAGCAGGGAAAAGTCTCTGGTTTGGTTCCAGAATCAGGGAATGGTTCAGGCTGGGATTAAGGATTTCTGGGCAGGAACATTTCCCAGAGCCCCCAGTGGCATCACTGCCACTCTGTTTTCAGCCCTGTGTGTCCCCTGTGTGCCACAGCCCTGCATGGGGACACCAGACCTGGTCCTGCCCGTGGTGTTCCTGTGCTCAAACATCTCAGATGTCCATCCCTCTCCATCCCTTAATGGATGCATCCAAAATCAAACCTTTTTCCCATCAGATTAATGAGGCATTTCCCCAAAGTGCTGTGTGCCCAAGTGCTGCAATTCTGGAATGAGGGTGTTGTAGGAGATCACAGGGAATGTCCCAGGATCCAGACACCTCCTGCTCCCTGATCCTTCACTTCTGCCCCACCACCCCCACTGTGCCCAGCCCTGCCAAGCCCTCCAGGGCTGCCCTGGCTGTTCACACAGATCCCTGGCCAGCCAAAACCCACAGAAAACTGGAATATTTGGGCAAGCCAAGCTTTGACTGAGTGGTGGGATTTGAGGGGGAGAAACTCACCTTAAAAGTATAATAATAATAATAATAATAATAATAATAATAATAATAATAATCCTCTTCCAGCATCTCCCATCAGAGTTCCCAGTGCTTGTCAGCCATTCCTGGCTCATCCCAAGCCTTTTTCTGTTCCATCTTGAATTCCTTCCCTCTCAATCCCATTTTCTCTCCCTGCTGCCTCAGCACCCATCACCTCTCCAGCAGAGCCTGTCCCTCACGGTGAACTCCCTGCTGCTTTTAGCCCGTGGATTTCTGCTGGAGACAGGTTTGGTCTGGTGTTTTCATTTTTATTTAATGCAGAAATTCCCTCCATTAGTGCTGCCCTTTGGAATGGCTCAATAATGGATGGGTTTGGGTGTGAACAGAGGAGAAAAAGCACGGCCAAGGAAGCTGAATCCCTGCACAGGCAACTTCCATGTGAAATCTCCTCTATTTTTATTCTCCTGGAAAAGGTTTTTATAGGACAGAGAGGCCCCCTTTTCCCCCATCCAAAGGCTGCTGCAGCAACTTTGCTCCTGTAATCCCTAAAAGCACCCACATGAGCAGAGATTTGGATCCACCAAAGGCTTGGAAAAGGCTGGGTGTGAAAGGGAAAGGTTCCAGGAGGTATCAGAGCCACACACACCTGGTGACCCTGCCTTTGCCAGAGATCAGAGCTCCCTTTCCCTGCCCCTTCATTTCCCAGCTCCAGCAGCACAGATGATCTCAGGGGAGTTGAGAGAGCACATTCCCAGCAACTTCATTTTTATGGTAATCCATTGGAAAAATAATCCTCTTCACGCATGATACAATTGTATAAAGCTCTCATTTATAACTTACATGAAAATTAATCACCAGAGCTTTTGGAATGAAGCTGTATCTGCACAGCACGAGGGGAAGGGCAGGGGGGGCGAGGCAGGGAGAAAAATGAGTCTGCACTTTAGAGCCATGAAAGGGAAAGGGCTGCTCCTGCAGAGGGGATTAATTTGGAGCATGGAGTGCCTTGCTTGGACTGGAGGAGAGGAGGAAGAAGGAGAAAAATGGAAAAGATGCTGGAAAATGGATGGAAATTCCTTGCCCAGTTGGGAGCATGGAACACAGAGACATGTGCAGAAGTGGGTTGTGGTCCATCCCTGATCCCAGTGTTGTAAAAATCCACTGAGGTTGTTAATTCATCCCCCTTTCATGGCTATTCACAGGTTCCACTTTCCAGAGTTTCATCTAAAAAGAGGAGGGAGAAAATTCCCAGAGCTGGAAGAGACCCCCAGGGATGATCCAGTGCAGCTCCTGGCCCTGCCCAGACACCCCAAAACCCCACCCTGTGCTTCCCAAATGCTCCTGGAGCTCTGACAGCCTTGGGAATGTGACCACTTCCAGCATTTTGGAATATTCCACTTTCCAGGGACAGCTTTCAAGCTGGGGAAGCCTCTCTGGGGCAGAGGGAGGCAGTGGGCAGCCTCTGAACTGCTGCTGGGGTGGGAGGTGGTGGCTTTGGTGGCACCTCTGTGCCAGGGGTGCTCCCAGCCTTGCACAGCAGAGCCAAGCTGGAATGGCCAGAGCTTGGATAGGGAATGTCAGCATAAAACACCTCAGGATGGTCCTGGGGGTTGTGGGGAGCTTTGGGAAGATCTCCTCAAGGGTTGTTAACACTCCCAGGGCAGGGCTGGGCTCTCCTCTCTGCTCCTTGCTAAGCTGGCAGAGCTTCCCCTCTCTCACATTTAGATTTATATAAATATAATCTCCCCAGTTTCTAATTTTATTTTTTTTTTCTTTTTTTTCTTTTTTCCCCCCTCTACGTTTCCATGCCTGTAATTGGGAAATTGGGATTGTCAGAGTGCAGAAATAAAACTCCTTTCCCCTCAGGAATAGAACTCCTTTCCCCTCCATTGTCTGCTGAAGCAGGGGCTCTGCCTGGTCTCCAGCATCAGGCTGGGGGAAAAGCTGAGATGTTCCTGTGGAATAGATGGGTTTGCTCCAGAGAACACCAGATCTGATATCCCAGCAGATTCCAGGCACAGCTTGTCCCATGGATCTCCTGGATCAAGGTTTTCTCCCCCTGGCACAGCCTGAAGTTGTTTTTCCTCAAAGAAATCGGGGTGGTTTAGGCAGCCCTGGAGCTGCTGGTGGCAGTTCCAGGGTGTCTCCCCACCCCAGCTCAACCTCTGGCAACCTCTCCTTGATCCCAAGGTCTCCAGGGATGAGTCTTTTCCAGCATTTCTGGCTCACTGGGCCCAGTAAAGGCTGGGAACAAATGTAATCACACTGAGGCAGCCGTGGAGAACAGCTCTGCATCATCCATCCTGATTTTCCCCAAGCCTGGCTTTATTTCTCTTTGCTCAAGGTCTCTGCTCAGGAGATTTATGATTCAGCTCTTTTGGTTTCTCCCAGCTTCTGTGGGCATCATTTTTTTGCTGAGGATTTTGCAGTGGGGACTTTTTTTCCTCCCCCTTTTCTTTATGGTGCTCCCCGATTTATTTATGTTTGCCCCAGATAAATGGGAAAGCAGCCAAGTGAAAGGCTCCCTGTTTGCCTCCGTGGGCTGGCAGGGATTGCAGCACAGCACCTGATGGGTTTGTTTTTTATGGGTTTTTGCTGTTTCTAGGTTTTTGTCCCCGTTTCACACTGGGGTTGAGTCGCCCAGGGTTGGCCTGGTTTTGTTGTGCCAGAGGGAAAACAGTGACAAACAGGGACAGGAAATCCCTCCTCTCCAGGTGAGATTGGAGTGCAGGAGGGGATCAGCTCCTGCTCCATCACCAGGGGATGGGCACATTCCCAAGAGCTCCAGAAGGGTTTGAAAAGACCCTCAAGGACAGGGTGGGATTTGGGGATGTCTGCAGGGCCTGGAATTGGATTTGATGATCCCTGTGGGTCCATTCCTGCTCAGGACATTCCATGACTCTGAACTGCAGCCTTCAGCTGGTGACTCCCCCAAGTGTCACCATAACCTGGGCAGGATCCTGTTCTTGGATGGTTCTTCTGACTTGGGAAGATCCCGAAGCTCTTGGAAAAGCCTGGATCCATCTGCTCCTCATCCTCCCCCGTTAGAGCTGGGCCTGGGGAGCAGGGTGAGATCCCACCAGGGATGTGTTGGGACCACGTTTGTCCTGTCCTGGAGTGCCACCAGCCCTCACCTGGCACAGAGGGACCTCCTGCCTCTCCCATTCCCTTGGGTCCATCTCTGGCCCAGATCCAATGGGAATTCCCTCACCATGAGGCCTCCTGAGGCTTTCCCTGAGGAATTCCCTGTGCAAGTGCCTTGGCTGAAGGCTTTGAGCCCTCTCTCCAGGACAGACCTGACTCTGAAATCCAGAGGAAGGGAATGAAATCTGCCTTCAGAGCATCAAAATAAACCCCTCAGTGTCAGTTCATTGTCACCTCCTTAACTCCTGTTTTCCCTTCCTGGTGTGGATTTTGGAGCACTCTCTACTGCTGCCTCACTCTCTGTTCTCTGCTGAAGTTCCTCTGTGTTCCATTCTGCAACATCCAGACCTTCCTAAAATACATCCAAATCCTGGAGGTGCTGCAATCCAGCCTCAGAGCTGGCTGCCTGAGTTTGGCACAAACCGCATTCCAGGTCTGAATTCCGGGTGTTTTTTGCCCCACAGGCTTCATTTCATGGTTTTCCACACGGAGGAGTTCCACGACGTGCTGCGGATCTGGGACGGGCCGGTGGAGAACGGGATCCTGCTGAAGGAGATGAGCGGCTCGGGGCTGCCCGGGGACATCCACAGCACCTTCAACTCCGTCATCCTGCAGTTCAACACCGACTTCTTCACCAGCAAGCAGGGCTTTGCCATCCAGTTCTCAGGTGGGATGTGCAGGGATTCCTCAAAAACCCCACCAAACCCAGAGCAAAAATCCAAGCAAACCCAGAAATTCCAGGTGTGTCCACAGGGTGAGCAGGTGACGCTGCAGTGGACACTTAGTCACTTTCATAATAAATAAAAAGAAAATTAACTCTATTAGACCATTCACTAATCACTTATTTATCGCTTAATTCCATCTATTCACTAATTAATTTGTTACAAATATTACTTGCAGTGTTGCTGTGAAGACAAAAATTCACAAAACCCAAAGCACGCTGATATTTATGAAATTAATATCCAGCATTCTTGGGCTACAGACACTGCAATTAGTGTGATCCTGTAAAAAATGAGCTGCACATCCTGGGACCTGGGATGGGACTTTTCCTGGACTTAGACACATTGAAACATGTTCCCAAGTTGGTTTTTTTTCCATAACTTTCTGTCCGGGGTGCCTTGCTCAGCTGGGGGGAACAAGCCAGCATTCTGGGGAGAATTCCTGCTGGGTTTCAGACCTTTGGGATGACCCAGACAGAGGCAGAGCTTTGTGTCACCCAGCACAGCGGTGCCACCCCAAGTTTTTTTTGCCAGACTTGAGTCCCATTCTGCCAGGAAGGAGCAGCCTGGGCTGTTAACTTCCTTATCTGCAGCTGCACAGAAAGACAGGGATTTCCTCTGGCTCTTTCAAGAGGAGCTTTCTCTAAACTGCCTGGGTGTAACAGACTCTCATCAATTTACCAGGAAATAAGCTCCTGATCTGGAGCTGGGCTTTATTGACTGCTCCTGCATAAAGCCTTTGTTCAGCAGGTGTGACTAAGCAGCCAGACCTGAGCTCAGACCTGTCCACTTTGGGATCTTGGGAGCTTTAATGAGGTGGATAAGCTCACAAAACTGCTATTACTCCAGGATTTTCCCTGCTGGTAAATCCTTGTGGTGTTGGCAGACCTTGAGCTCAGGCAGCAGCAAAGCTTTGCCTGTCCCCCAGCTCAGGGGACATCTCAGACCTCAAAGAGAGGCAGCAACAAGTCTGGAAAGGGAAACAAACACATTTCTGAAAGGTCAGGCTTGATGCTTCACAGATCTTGAGGCTAAATTTCTCTGCCACTCCAGGGAAAGTGGGATGTGCTGGTGGCTGAGTTGATTTTGCAGCATGTGCCTGGCACAGAACTCTCCAAAAACGCCGTGGAAGATCAGTGGGTGTCTGGCCTGATGGAGTAAACAGCCATGTGCACAATTCTACATCAAAGCTGCTCCCTGGGTACTGCTTTTGAACTTGCTGGTCCCCAGAGCCTTTCCCAGCTGGAGTGGCAGATGCTCAGAGCAAAGGGAAAGGCACTTCTTGTGTGGGGGGGAACTTTATGGGATGCAGAGGGAGGAGAGATGGGGAACAAGGCATGGCCTGGGTGTCTGAGGACAGAGCCTCAGGACAGCTGGTGCTGAGAACAAACATGGATATTCAGTTTGTGCTTTTAATTCCCTTCAGTTTCCACGGCCACTTCCTGCAACGACCCAGGAATCCCCCAGAACGGGAGCCGCAGTGGGGACAGCAAAGAGGCCGGGGACTCCATCACCTTCCAGTGCAACCCCGGCTACGCCCTGCAAGGGGAGGCCCAGATCACCTGTGTGCAGATCGAGAACAGGTTCTTCTGGCAGCCAGACCCGCCCATCTGCACAGGTACAGCCCCATCCTGGGCACACTGGAACAGAGGTGGGGTATTCAGATGGTTTTTTATAATGCTGTTTATTCCATAGACTGGAGTTACAGCAGCTGGGGGTCATGGGTTGGCCCACAGCTGCTGGCTATAGGAGAGCCCTGTGTGCTGAAAACCATTTAGTTCTGGTTACAGAGCTATACATTTGTGTATTTGTATATTTGTAATAGCATTTGTAATGCAATTATATCTTTCTTTTGCTGTGCATTATCATCACATAACAACCATCATACACAATATCTTTACATTTACACCTATCCTATCAGAACTGCCAAAATTACCACACTGTGTTAGTGACTAACCAATCATCTGAGTTAGTAATTACATGTTGAACTTTGAAACTTCTTTTGGAGTGGGAAATTATTTTTGCTTTTGTAAAAAACTTCTTTCTGTCTGCCTATGCTTTTTTTACTTGGTAGCAAACATGCTTTGTTTGAAGACCACTTAGCCTGTTGGACTTTGGCCATAAAACCTCCTTCTACTGACTAAACCTTTGTTTTAAACCTTCCAACTTGACTAAACCTTTCTTCTCTCAGCTGTTTCAGCAACAACTGGCCCTAAAAACATCATTTTATATATCAAAGCTTGCTTTCATTTCTAGAGAACCTTCTGCTAAGTAAAACTTACTTACAGTAAAATCTGTAAAACTTTTCTGTTAAATTCTCATGCTTCCCAACAGCACACAGGCATGGATCTCTGTCTGAACCCATGGACACAGATCCCTGTCTGAATCCATGGACACAGATCCCTGTCCTAAATCCATGGACACAGATCCCTGTCTGAATCCATGGACACAGATCCCTGTCCTGAACCCATGGACACAGATCCCTGTCTGAATCCATGGACACAGATCTCTGTCTGAACCCATGGACACAGATCCCTGTCCTGAACCCATGGACACAGATCCCTGTCTGAACCCATGGACACAGATCCCTGTCTGAATCCATGGACACAGATCCCTGTCTGAACCCATGGACACAGATCCCTGTCTGAATCCATGGACACAGATCCCTGTCCTGAATCCATGGACACAGATCCCTGTCTGAATCCATGGACACAGATCCCTGTCCTGAACCCATGGACACGGATCTGTGTCTGAACCCATGGACACAGATCCCTGTCCTGAATCCATGGATCCCTGTCCTGAACCCATGGACACAGATCCCTGTCCTGAATCCATGGACACAGATCCCTGTCTGAATCCATGGACACAGATCCCTGTCTGAACCCTGTTGTAATTACAATTTCACCCCACACATCTTAAAAAATTAAGAAATATTAAAGAAAATAATCCTTCAGGTATCCAGAGCTGTGATAAAACATGCTGATTTTCTAATACTTCAAACTGTGTTTAAAGTTCGTTTTCCAGACAGTTTTAATATCCAATGACAAAGGATTTGGAAGAATAATCAGTAAAATATTAATAGCTGGGGGAGAGGCAGCCTGGTCAGAGCTAAAGTGGCAAAATGCAGTGTTTAATTTAGGGCTGAACTGGGTTATTTAGCATTTCAAATGCATTTTCCCCTCTTTGTGGCACAACTTCCAAACAATCTGGGCTGGGAGAACCCCGGGAGGTTTGGGCCATTTGAGATCTGCATCCCTCTTAATCCCAGGCAGCACTGGCTGGGTCCAGCTCCTGCTTCAAATCCCTTGGAGACTCTGGGTGGGATTTTCAAAGGAATCCGAGGGTGTTGAACACTTGTTTCCCTCAGGCTTTTCAAAAATGAGTCCTTAGATTTCAGTTTCTTCTGTGTTTTCCCCTGACATTACAGTCTGGGAGGGGAAAGAACCCTTGGGTGTAAAACTGGGGTGAATGGGCACACAAGAGATGCTGGTGGGCTCTTCCAAGGCATTTCTGGGGGACTTTCAGCCGAATTTTCCAGATTTCCTGGTGTGTCCCAGAGGGATAAAAGTTCTCCATGGCTGAGTCTGGACTCGGTTGTAGAAGTTGCTTTAAAGGTTTTTCTAATCTCTATTTGTAGACTGGACCCACTAGATTTTTCCTGATACTTTTCTTACCAAAGCCCACAGGACAATCCCATGTGCTCATTCCTTCATGGAAAATCCTTCCAAGATTTATCCCAACACTTCTGCCCCATCCCAGCTCATTTCCCACAAGCTGTGCTCTCCTTGCTCTCATCCCATCCCAAGTATGGGAGGCTTGGTGGCTTTTCCAAGGTATTTTCAGGAGGCCTTCAGCCAAATTTTCCATATCTGTGCTGTGATTTCCTGCTGGATAACATTTATCCATTCTTGGACTTGGAGAGAGGTCTCTAATCCCTACTATGACATTTCTAGACCAGCCTCACTGGGTTTTACCTGATATTTTTCTTAGTATTTTTCTTTATAAAAGCATACAGGGCAGTCTCATGTTCTCACTCCTTCATGGAAAATTCTTCCAAGATTTATCCCATCAATTTTTGTCCCATCCCAGCTCATTTCCCACTCTGCAGCTGCTGTCAGACCCCATCCCAAATGTACGAGGGTTGATCTGGGGAATCTGAGAGCATCAGCCCTCACAAGGAGCCTGCAGAAAAAAACTGACAGGAAAAATATCAGTCATGTTTTGCCACAGTGGGAAACATGAGCAGGCACTTGGAGCCTTAAAATGTAATAATTGATTTTTCAATCAGCCTGGCATTTAATGTGCTGGGAAGTGGAGTAAACACAACCAAGCCGTTTAGGCCCAGACGTGTTTCCACCTCATTACAAGTGAACAGGCCTTGACAGGGAGTTCCATAAATGCAGCAGAAAAGTGAAGATCTCCCTCTCGGTCCCTCTGGCTCCTCACTTACAGATTTTAGGGAGGTTGTGGTGGCATCCAGAGCTCTGTTTTTGCTGTTTGTCCCCTGTGCAATGACAGAGCCACCACAGCCTCGTGTCACATGTGAGCCTCAGGGTCACTTCCCACTGAAAACATCCCAGGATTCTGTGCTATCCTAAACTCCCCTGTCTATCCACATCTCCCTCTTTTTCCATTCTTGTTTCCCACTTGCTGCTTTGGAGGTGTCTGTGCTCCACAGGCTCACCCTGGGCTGGTTCTCCTGCAGCTCCCTGTGGCGGGATCCTGACGGGCCCGGCTGGGGTGATCCTGTCCCCGCAGTACCCGGAGCCCTACCCCCCAGGGAAGGAGTGTGACTGGAAGCTGACGGTGTCCCCTGACTATGTCATCGCCCTGGTGTTCAACATGTGAGTACCCAAGGGTCTGGTGCCACGGCCTTGGGCAGGGGAGGGATCATCTGGGTGTGGATGTCCTCCACTCTGGGAAGGATCCAGCCCTGTCCCATGCCCCTGGATAATCTGTCCCCAGACTGGTTTTGGGGGAGATCCTCATATTCCAGCTGCAGCTCCTCTTTGGAACACAGAACATGGCCTGCTATAGCCTGATAGTCCCTGCAGCAGCTCTGGCTCAGGCTCTCTCTCCTGACTCCATCCCCACTCCTGCATTCCTCACCCGTGGGATGGAGGCAGGAATGTCCTCTGCCTGGCAGGGTTAGACATTCAGGAACGTTCTGCTTGGCAGAACTTTGGAGCAGGAGCAGTCAATCCCTGCCCTGGGGTTCCACATCCCAGAGTTCTCCAGGGATGCATCCTCTACTCCAGACTCTCCTCCTTTGCTTTTGCAGCTTCAGCCTGGAGCCTGGCTATGATTTCCTGCACATCTATGACGGGCCTGACTCCCTGAGCCCCCTGATTGGGAGTTTTTATGGCTCCCAGCTCCCGGAGAGGATCGAGAGCAGCAGCAACAGCCTTTTCCTGGCATTCCGGAGCGACGCCTCCGTCAGCAGCGCTGGCTTCGTCATCGAGTACACAGGTGGGGGCTGAGGGCACACCTGGCCCAGCAGGTACCTGGGGCTTTCCCTCTGCTTATTCCCAGGTTTTTCCACCTCATTGGAACAAGTGGGAGTGGATCTGGTTTCTGTGGAAAACTCCTTCCAGGAGGAATTCTGGTGTTTTGCCACCCCCAAAGCAGAGGGTGGAGAACGGGAGGGAGGGAGG